TTATTTTCTTTAAAATATCCCTGACACGTTCCATGTTTTCTTCTGGCATCTTTTACATTTTTTTATTGTTTGCTAAATTAATTTTCTCTCTAATAACTTCGAACAAAATTGGAGTTTAAATTAAATTCTAAATTAGAACTTTTGCCAATTTGTGCTTTTTTATGCTAAATTTTACTCAATAAAACACGAGAGCCGCTCAAGGTAGAGAAATAGAGCCTCTCTAATAGTGAATTTCACTCAATACAAAACTCATGAGCTACTCAAAGTAGTGTGTTACAGTATCATTTAATGGATGAGGTGTATGATATAAATAGCAGAAAAGTTGTTGAGAAATGAAGATTATGAGAATAAGGAGGAAAGGTGGCAATTGACCCTTTAAGAATTGACTTGAGATTAAGATTGATGTATTTATTGAAGCATACATGTCGGGGTTCGTTCCAAAATGTCGCATTTGTTGGGAGAAAACTGCTTCAGTGCAACTTTTTTTTTTACATTTGGAAAATAGAAGAAAAGAGGGTAATTCGACCCCAAGGAAGTGGTATTGCGTGTCGTCGCAGTAAAACTTTGAAATGATGAAATAATAATAAAAAAAAAAAAAAAAAAAAAAAAAAAGGCTTACCTGAACATTTGATAGCAAGTGTAGGAAAAAGGTTACAGGTTGGAAAAGAAGCCCCCACCCCACAAAAAAAAAAGAACACGTAAGCGAACTTTGAAGTCTATCAAAACTGGAAGGTGAGAATTGAGCATCTCCAGCCCTGCAATACTCCATCTTTTGGTCTATGATACTCAAGAGTACGTCTATTTGAAAAAGTTGAATTGAAAAGATCGGAACCATAATTTTCTTTTTACATTGACTGACGTAAAAATCACAGAATTAGTTTTTTTTTTAATAATCTATAACAAAATGATATTACCTATCGTGGATATTAGTCTGTGAATAAGTTGCATTTTTATAGCCTTTACTCAAAGGTGAACAGTTGGAATATGACGACATTAAATCTTGAATAATCTTGAATAATTTTACGTCGCGATATCACCTTCCAGACAATCTTTGTAAAAGGAAACCAAGAAGAAATGAATAACCATTAACTGTAAGAAGACCGAATGTATGGCCGTCAACAAGAGAACAAGCTGAAGATGTAAACTACGAAGTGGTGATGTTAACATTAAACAAATATACAGATTTACAGACTTGGCAAGTAAACACCGAAGAAGTCTTAAGGAAAATAGAAGCAAAAAAGACAGAAAGAGAGACGGCTGTAATTTCATGGACATAATGAAGAAATAGGACTTAAGGAATTTCCCACTCACACGATATTTAGAAGGCAAAAGTGAAAGGTGAATATAGCTGATCTGATAAGTTTGAGTGAATGGATGGCAAAACGGGGTTGTAAGAGATTAGCAAAGGGACACATTTAGCTAAGAGCTACAAATGAGGGAAACGAGGTTGTGTTCATGCTATCCTACATCCAGAAGTTAAACGTTATAGAGAAGAAGAAAAGAGAAAATCTCCATTTGAATAAAGCAAACAGATCCAAAATTCGCCTTATTCTTAACGAAAGTTATTCATTTTAAAAATAGGTAAAATATTTTTTACGGTTTCTAGAGTATGTAACAGAAATGGTCAAACCTTACAAACAACTGTGAAGTTTCATCATTTACTGGGTTACAGAACTTCGCAATTAGACCATGGGAAAAATGGTACCGTGTTGACCTCTTAGGTTTTTAGCTCTTTGGCACAGACGATTGAATTCATATGCGAAGAAGACCGCAGGAGACTATGAATCCAATCTAAGAGACGATGGTCCTGTGTGAAGTGGGTTCTGTTGCAGTTCAAAAAGACATTTAATGAAAGTAGATCCTTTTTGACAAGTGTGACATTTATTTATATTTATCGTGTTTTCCGCTTTTAAGACAATATCGTGCATGTGTGATACGAAACTGCTTACAAGAAAATTACCTGAGTTTGGTCTAATGATCTTGATAATATGTAGAAAAATGTTCAAAATGGCTAGATTTCTAATTTTGAGCAGTAACCACGCATATACTTGTATGTAAGCTCCAATATGTTTACCTTCATATATCATACATTATGAATTGGAAAAAGTCCGACAATTATTTTAAGACATTTTTTTTATGTTTATACGTTCTTTTTATAGATACAAATATTTAAATAATTCTCTGTTTAAAATAAACATTATTAACAACATTTACCTGCCTGAATGTACGAGAAATTTTCTTAGAAAATATGCATCCTCCAACAAGAATCAAACCTGTATCCTAGACGGAACAGTCATATAGCCTGACGTGCTTTTACCGATTTAGCCACAGAGGAGCTTTTCGGTTAGCAAGGTAGATTTTACTGTTTTTCTTGGATATTCACGCCGGTAAATGTCATTAATACTATTTATTATAAACAGATCATTTACTAAAATATTTTTATCTATAAAAAGAACGTATAAACATAAAAAATCTCTTTATATATATATATATATATTTATGAATAAAAATGACAATAGGAAAACTAGTAATTGCTGACGCGTTTCGTCCAATGTGGATTTTGTCAAAGCAAAATACGCAAAAATAAAATGAATTTAATTGAACAGGGTAACTAATAAAAAATAGAATGTTCCTAGCAACTGGAATGTAGAGAACACTATTTTCATATTGTTAACTGAAAATAACGTCAGTTTTTGTCACGTGTGGAGAATATTGTCATTATATCTGTGTAGATGTATTCAACCATTTTCTTTTGATTTTATGAATCTGTTGTGTACATTTGTTTGTGAGAGCAGTAATTTTGTTAAGGTGAAATGCGGAAAAACCTGGGCGTAGATTAATATTTGGGTAATATTCTATGGCGGCACTCTCTAGAATTTTCCTTCTGAGTGAGTTATTTTCTTTTTTTTATGCGTGTAGCATTTTTAAAATCAAAATTATGGTTGAATTTATTCCGTGTATGACTAGTGCATTAGCTATGTTGTTTTTTGTGGGGTCTCTTTTGTGCTCATAAATGTATTTTTTTAAACTTCTACTTGTTTCTTCAATATACTATTAGTAGTTTTCCTATTGTCATTTTTATTCATAAATATTGTCTTCTCTACTGGTTAAATCGAAGAAATTTTCATATATATATATATATATATATATATATCTCAAAGGGAAAACTTAACGCATCATCGAAGAATCGATTCTAAATTATTAATTTAATTCACAAGGTAAGATTTAATACCGGTCTCATCAGACCGAAATTACACAATGGTTTAAATTTATCCAGACAATATGTTAAAAATATTAATCAATAACAAAAAACATAGGAGAACAAGAAGTGAATTCTAGATGCTTGACCTAAGAAATTTATTTTCTGGAGATTTATATTAATGAAGAGATGGGTGGGGGAGAAGGTCAAAGAGAAGCAACTTAATCATGGAGTAAATATAAATGACAGCTAGTGAAATACATTAGGATAAAATCCATATCATCCACAAATTTACGTCAATAAAATAGCAATCATTCTTATATATATAATTAGTTAAGTAATTAAAATCGTGGTAATCAGTATGGCTAATCCCAAGGAGGTTGAAATCCGGAGAACTCAATGTTAAATCAGAGCGATTAATTTAATGAAAACAGACAATTTTAAGGGTTCATTGGTTATAATTTATTTCCTCAAGGAATTTCTTATACATATAGAGAAGTGAAAATAATATATTATATAAATAACAAATCTCAAATTCAACACCTAATTTATCTTCATAATTATAGAATACATCACACACACATATATATATACACATACATACATGCAAATATACATAGCCATACAAACACACAAGTAAGCTCATATATACAAGGCATACACATATACGTACATACACAAGCATATATATATATATATATATATATATAAAACATAAACATACGCACATACATACACACGCACGCAATAAACACACACAACATACATACACATCAACACATATTTATGCATACACACCTCATAAGCATATATAACACAATAAACTACGCACATATACACAAACACAATCTTGCTCACTCGCTCTGAGTGTGTTTGTTTGAGTGTGTGTGTGTGTTTACAGTTTTATGAATTAAAATTGAAACTCTTGTCCATTTGCATAATTAACTTTCTTGTAAACAGCCTCTGTTTTGATTACTGTATCCACAGCCATTGGCACTGCCATTATTAGTAGACAGCTGAGATAATTCAATTTTCCGTGGAAAATGTATCTGCCGTAGAGGTGACTATTTTTCAGTGAATTTAACAGAAGAATCTTTTTTTCTTGGAGCCTCTAACCGCAAGCAACTTTTCTGATTAAATGTCCCAGCGGAACAGCCGTTGAACTTTCTTGATTTCCATCAAATTCAAAACACTCCACCAGAATATTTCGAACAGTTTTGCTCTTTTTGGCTCCTGCTACAACGCTAGAGAAATGGCCATCTTCAATTATTTCTAAGGTATTAAAATTGACAAAAAAATAAAATGACTGTTTCTTGATAAAAAATGATCTGGTCATTTAGAAGATTAGGAAATGAATGCAAACACTTAAAAAAAAAGAAAAAGAAAAAAAAAAGAAAAAGAAAAAAAAAAGCATTTCTTAAAATAGACACTTTTAGGTAACAAACTCTAAAGATTCGGTATTTCCTAAACTTTAAAATAGCATTAAATCTTTAGATGAAAACGATTTAGCTTAAAGTCAAGACCCAGAGTCCAATTAAATCTATCTATCTATTAATGCCCACTTCTGTTGATTTTCAAATCCACAAAAAAAACAAAAAAAAAAAAAAACAAAAAAAAACAGAAATACATAAGATATTGCTCTGAAAAAACGCATGACCCAGTTCCTTCTTTGTTTTGGTCTAGGTCAAGAAAATAAAGTTCAAAATTTATAAAGTAGATCACGCAGAAAAAAATAGTAATTATTCCTAATTTTCAAATCATTATGTATAAAATAAAATAATGTAACGTTAATGTAACGTTATTAAGAAAAAACCTTCTGCAAGATATGTTTCGCTTGAATCAATGAAGGCATACAGGTGCTACATACTCCTGAAGAAGATTGGTTTAAACGCTGAGCTAAAGGAAAAAGAAAAAAAATCAAGTTTTATTTTCCATGCATTTCATAAGAAACTGGGATGCTATTAACAGTTTTACATCTCAAATATACAGATATTTTGAAAGTAGATATAAAACTGCCAGTGTATAACAGCCATACTGTCAAAGGTCATTATGCTAACTACTGATCATCTCGCCTTAATCTGATTTTCAGAATAAGGTGACAGCTAGAAAATTTGATGCTTGACCCATTGGTAATACCAGTTGGATTTGAAATTAATTCATATCATTTTGGCTCAGTAAAATCTTTGGCTTCCTCTTGTGTTTATTCAAAATTTTGATTTTCTTTTAGATGGCTTACTGAGTCACGAAAAAATAAAGATTTTGTAACGTTTTTAGGAAAAAACAAATACTGGCATGAAAATATGAGTTGCTTGTAAAATCTTTTTTAATGTTAGTCATTAACTTTCAAGAAAGTATCGATAGTTCAATATTGCCGTTGATATTGCTTGATCATAATTGTAAAATCACACGTTCTCTTCGCAGCTTTGAGTTGGTGTCAGCTCACTACGTAGAATTGAATATTTCAGGAATTCCTATATTTTAGTTAGCCTGACGTGCCTTTTTACCGATTCGGCCACAGAGGATCGTTCGGTTGGCAAGGTCGAATTTACTGCTTATAAACTTCAATCATCCATGAATCTCACGTACATTCATATCATGGCGTATCAAATGTAAACAAATGACGTCACACATGAAATGGACAAAGTCCGACAATTATTTTAAGATATTTTTATGTTTAACATTCTTTTTATAGATACATATATTTAAGTAAATGCTTTGTTTATAATAAACAGTATTAAACAACATTTACCAGCTATATGACGGTTCCGTATAGGATACAGGTTCGAATCCTGTCGGAGGACGAATATTTTCTATGAAAATTTCTCGAACATTCAGGCCGGTAAATGTTGTTTAATACTGTTTATTATAAACAGAGCATTTACTTAAATATTTGTATCTATAAAAAGAATGTTAAACATAAAAATGTCTTAAAATAATTGTCAGACTTTGTCCATTTCATAATATATATATATATATATATATATATATATATATATATATATGTGTGTGTGTAGAGATAGAGAGATACAGAATTTGTGAAAGAAGAAAGCTAAAGAAAAGAGTGAGGGGCAGAAAGAGAAGGGAAGAGAAGAGAAAGAATAACAGAAGAAAAGAAAAAAGAGAGATGGTGAGAAATATAGGGAAAAAGAAATCAAAAGAAAAAGAGATGTCGAAAAAGAGCGGAAAAGAGAAAAACAAGAGAAAAAAAAGAGAGATGATGAGAAATAAATAGAAAAAGAAAACCAGATGAAAGGAAATTTAAAAAAGGAGAAAGAGAGGGAGACGGGAAAAAGAATATGAAAGGAGAAAAGAGAGGAAGAGTGAGAGAATGTAATGTGATAGATAAATGAACAAATATAAATAAATGAACAAACGAAAATAAGGAATATAGATGGAAAGAAAAAGAAAGTAAGAGAGAAAAAGTTGAAAATAAAACAAGATGTAGAAAAAGGAAATAGCGGAAGAAAAATAAACAGTAAAGATAATTTGATGGAGAAAAATATGAAGAAAAAAGTTGGAAGAAGAAAAAAGAAGGGAAAGAAGGAAGAAAGAGCTGGGAAGAGAAGAGCTGGGGAGAGGAGAGAGAGAGCTGGGGAGAGAGGGGGGAGAGAGAGCTGAGGGGGGAGAGAGAGAGGGGAGGGGAGAGAGAGGGAGAGGGGGAGAGGGGGAGAGAGGGGAGAGGGGAGAGAGGGGGGGAGAGAGAGGGAGAGGGGGGAGAGAGAGGAGGGGGAGAGAGAGAGGAGAGAGAGGGAGGAGAGAGAGGGAGAGAGGGGGAGAGAAAAGATGGAGAGAGAGAGAAAGAGATGGAGAGAGAGAGAAAGATGGAGAGAGAGAGAAAGAGATGGAGAGAGAGAGAGAAAGAGATGGAGAGAGAGAGAGAAAGAGCATATGAAAGAGAGAGAAAGAGCATATGAAAGAGAGAGAAAATAAGAGAGGTAGAGATGAGAGACAAAGAATGAACACCGAGGAGAGGAAGAGAGAAAACTATTGATTTTGACAAGTGGTAAAAGCAAATAACATTTCGACAGACAAACAAGTAGAGTTCTTAAATGGACAGCGTTGCTTGGCAACGGTAGATAATGGCGTTGGTTTCAAAAGAAGGGGCAGAGTCAGAATAGATGTAGAGTGATACCTAATTGGGTGGAATGTTTTCTAGACAAGGTTTGGCAGTAAGTGGTTAAGACATGCCTTTCAAAGAACGACAAAACAATACCTAAAGACAAAAGAGAAAAAAAAAGACGCAATTGGTCTGCTAAGCACTTATTTTGTGTCAGGAGATGCTTGCTCTTCTGCCGAGAGAGAATGAATTGCGGGTAAAGAAGAGGAATTCCTGTCATTCCAAATCACTGGAAATGTCTTGTCATCAATAACTGCCGTTTAGTGAGTTTAAATATTACAATGGCAACGGCTTTTGTAGCTTTCGTTTTGTTTTGAGGAATACAAGTCGGTAATTTGAGGAAGACTTTCCGGAATCAGAAGAAAAGGAATCTCACAAAATGGCTGTTCTCACCTGCAATTCCGGGATTATAGTCGGCAGCCGATGTATTAAGCTCCATTTGAAACTTTGTAGAAACTTCAAGAATTGTACACTTTCTAAATTGTTTACTTTTTAAAACCCGTGCTTCCTATGAACCTGTTTTGGATACGCATCTTGTTAAGCATTCTTCATTTATTCTTTTATAGATTAAAGTTAAATAAGTTAAACTTCTGACATTACGATGGGGGGAAAAAAGGTTCTTTAAGAAGCTAATCACCGATACGAGATGTAACATTAAAAGCGATCTGCGCACAAATAGCCCGAGGAAAAGTATGAATAGATTTCTTCTTCCTTCAGTAAGATTTGTATCACTGAATCATTATTACCTACCCCCACCAATTCAACAATCTAAAAAAAATTATGGCTTTAAATAACCCGAAAAGGGTTGATAAGCCGTAGAAAACGAATCAATCAAATCAAATCTTTAACTTAAAATAAATTTAGCCGATTAGCTTCCAACAGAGATTATCATAAATACATTTGTGACTTTGCTCACATTTCTTTGAATTATCCCCGAACATTGCCTAAAGTTCCCGTCAATATAAAACTTTAGTCTATTATTTTATTTTATCTAATTTAGTCTATTATTTTATTTTATCTAATTTAGTTTATTATTTTATCTAATTTCTAATTTAGTTTATTATTTTATCTAATTTCTAATTTATTTTATTATTTTATTTAATATCTCCCAACCAACATCGAATAAAAAGTATTTGTCGACAGCATACAAGTCTCAAACCCAAAGAGATTACTAAAAACAACAGGTAAATGTTTCTTGCCAATATATTCACATGTGGTAGAGAAACGATCTCGTTTCAATGATCTTTAAACTCTTTGATGGTCTTACGCTCGATTGGCGGTGTGATATTATTTCTCAATTTGAAACCTGTATCTGAGGTTATGCAGCAGATTGTCTTATTTGATATGATTATAGGATTTTTCTTTTGTTCATTTGAAGAAATACAAAAATTTGACAGAATCCGTATGTCAAGAAGGAAAAAAAATCACTTAATTCATAAATGTAATTTTCGATGTTAGATGAGCGTCTTTTAGGATATTTTCCCTTTTGACACTAAAATATTTCGCGAATTATATTAGAGATGAAGCATCATTAAGTATTTGAATAATAAATCCTTTTTCAATTCCGCTTTATTAATAATTACATGAATCAAAGAGCCATTTACAAATTCGTCATCTGGTTTGTTGTTTTTAAGTGATTATTGTAACTGTTATTGTAGTGTTTCTATCTATGCAATGTCTTCGTTGTGTGTAAAATAGCATTTTTTTTTATTGGCGATCACTGTTTTGAAGTATGGTTCTATTGGATTTGGGATATTTAAATTATATAACCACAAAACGTAGTTATATTCGTATTCTAATATTTCTTATAAATGCATATATACGTATGTATATATGGCCTATTGCGTTCAAGCATGAAACAGTCGCCTCTGGGTGTTGACTTCAATGTCTACTTTTATATTTACATACGATAAATATAGCATTCCTTAATACTATATCTTATATATATATATATATATATATATATATATATATATATATATATATTAGTAAAGGTAATAAATCCGTTAGTATATAATACAAGGAGATCCTCTTTATATAAATATTAAGACCTCAATGTATTTATTATAACAGCCAATAAATAGTATTACACAACAAATTCCAAAATTACCAGTTGTGTAATACTATATATATCGAACGATGCACTTTTATTAACGCTCCATCAGAGAATGATTTATGGAGAAAGAAAGAAATTCTGTTTTTTTTTCCTTTTGCGTTTTTTGGTTTTCATTTGTTAATCAGGCTTCAGTATATTTTATTTATTAAGCAGCATTAGTATAAGTTATGGCGTTCTGAATTCAAAAAGTGATAACTCGATTTTAGAGTTTACCACAAACCCACTAACAAAACTAATTTAACTGAGTTATTTAGTGGAGTCCGATGCAGTGAAGGGAGGTTGAAGACATTATTTCACGAATTTGATGCCAGGTACGAAGAGAGAAATTAGAAAGACCCAGCTTTGATATTTTCAGGAATTTTGGCAGCGAGTAAATTTAAAAAAAAAAATGAAGGAAACTCATTTGAAAAAAAAAAAATCTATAAGAATCAATCAAATAAAAGAGACTCGTTGTATTTACCCCCAAATATCGGGCTATCCTTGATGGGTCAAACTGATGAAGTTAACAGACGAACCAGTTAAAACAAGTTCAAATTTAGATTCAAGCTGTTTATTTTCAATTCGCATGAACATAATTAGGAAAGGCATAAATCCAACTATCCCTTACACAGGTTTCCATCACGAGATATCATAAATTTAAATTTTTGCTGTATTTTTGTTTCAATAATCCGAAGTTCGCGTTATTGCTTTTTGTTCCGTAATATATTCACTTGTTCGGAAAATAATGTCCGATTTTAGAGTTAATCTTACGTGTTGTTAATATATTATTATAATAGTTGTCCAAAAATATATTACTCATTCCTAATAATTAAAGTGACCTTAAATATTATACGTCCACCCTGTTGTACACGAAAAAGGAAGAGATGCATTTACATTTTTTTTGCATGAATTCAAGTTTTGGTCATAATGCTTCTCACTTCTACCAAAACATGAACAAAGAGCATGGAGGAAAGAATCTGACAATAGGCGCTGGTTTCTGAAGGGCTGCTGTTGGGATACAAGTTTTGAAAATTAAGGTGGGACTTCCATCTATAATTGACAATCATCATATGAAAAGACTAATCAAACAAACCCATGTCAAAAAATATCAGAAAATGGATGTCAGGATTTCAACAATAAGAAACTTAACATTCACAAAATCGATAAGTGGGTTTCTCATGAACTCAGAGAAAGTCAGAGTTCGAGGTTTTGAAGGGCGTCCGATGCTGCATCTTCTTGATGGAATAGTGACTTGGGATGAGAAATGGATCCTTTATGACAATCATAAAAGATCGTCTCAATGGCTTGATGATGACAAAGCATCCAAACACTTTCCAAAAAATTGCACCAACTGAAGATTATGGTGACTGTTTTGTAGTCCACCATTAGTGTTGTTGGAATCTAACCAGAGCATCACTGCTGAAGTTTATTGTCAACAACTGAATGAAATAGGTATTGAATTAAGAAAATCGATGAGGTCCAATTCAGCTTCATGACAATACTCGGCAATGTTACCAAGAAGACTATGTCACATCCACCATATTTCCCAGATTTCTAGCCAACTGACTACCATTTCTTCAAGCATCTTGACATTGTTTTAAGTCAAAAGAGATTCCGTTGCAAAGAAGATGCAGAAACTGTAATATAAAATTTCTTGGCGTTGAAATGTTTAGAGTTTTATCGTAAAGGCATTAATATCTTTGAAACTCGGTGGCAGAAATGTATAGGTGTATATATTTAGACTGATTTAAATACAGGTTAAATACATCAGTTCAGGAATTAAAGTTGATTTTAAAATCGGTCATTTTCCGAACATGATTATATATATATATATATATATATATATATATGATATGAGAGAGAATCTAATCTGACAAACTTGAAAGGATTTTTGTGACGCGTTTCTTCAGTTAGCATTTCATCGGACAGATGAATACTGTTTGTTGATATATAAAATTATACAAAATTATATATCGTTATATCATATGTGTGTGTATATATATATATATATATATATATATATATATATATATATATATATATATATATAGCGACACCGGGGATCGGGTTGTCGTGTTTAGCCCGCCGAGTCAACATTTAAGTATATCTATTTTAAACAACAATATTCTTTTGTAGTACGTCGTTTTCACTCTTTACTTCACCCGAATCCAAAATAATTTGCTTTAACTCTGTGCCTCACAATATTCAGAGAAATACATTTCGTTGATATTGTTAATAATAGAGAGAGAGAGAGCGAGAGAGAGAGAGAGAGAGAGAGAGAGAGAGAGAGAGAGAAAAGGGGAAAAACAAAGAAAGTAGGTAAAAAAGAATGAAATAAAATTAGTGTTGCTAGTCGGGCTGCGTAGATCTGAGCCCTATCAGAGCTGGAGACATACTTAATAAGCAATGTATTTCTTGCTTTAATTTTATAAATAATCTTTTAAAAATCTCTAATGACTTGTATAACTTGTTTTTAAAGATCACATTTTTATTTCAACTGATTGATTTCAAATGCCTATTTTAAATAAATTATTCCGTACAGTATAAGTTTTTTTTAATCGGAATGTGTCAATTAAAAAAGGGTAGATTGAATTTAGCCCGACTTAAAGTCGATAAAAATCAAAGAAAGTAGCAGCCTTAACTCGTCGACTGGAGAATTAGGGTGAAGAATGTGACTGGGGTAGTTTTGAGGAAATATGATATCAGCCAACTATTCCTATCTCTACCATTATTCAAATATATATTGTTAAATATAACAGATAACGAATGTCTATTATGTTTTATCATGAGCCGTTCTAAGCGCCGTATAATGACTTTAGCTACAAAACAGCCCACACTCAATGAAATTACTATTCAAATCAGTCAACTTATTACAATACATTTAAACATATGGTTCTGTTGATGACATTTCTTTCTCTCACGTTCTCATGTACGACGTCATAGAACAGCATTATGAATTTATGACCTTCGTTATCGTCGCATAGCAAACTTCTATGTAAACAAAACAGGATGTTATCTTTGACGGTGCGCTTCTCTGTTAAGTCCATATAACCACTTATAATCACTCTGATAATGGTTCATGTGAGCCGAAAGCTTAGATCGATGACCAATATAATAAAGAAATA